CTAGTAGGAAATTGAACGCTCTACGAAAAAGTTTTCTTATAAATTTTCGATAAAACAACTCCTCCAAAAGTTATTCAACGTTAAACTTGGGTTTATTGTCAATTCTATGATATTTTTAATTTTATTTTCATTTTTACCTTTTTTGGCTATAAAATCGTTGAAGAAAAAGATTATTATTATTATCAATAGAGTATCAATGATCATTTATGTCGATATAATGGTCTAAACAGGAAACCAAAAAAAAAAATTAATTTTTGAGAAATATAAGCGATAACAAAACTTTTGATTTGCTATGAACATGTAATTAAGTTTATGTAGTATAAATTAAAGTATTTAAATCGGTATTTTGTATTTACTTACTGAATTCAATCCTTATTAATTAGAGAATGTATACATAATTGCCATTCAAATTCAATTTTTTACTATTCCGCCTAATGCCATCTATGAGAGGTTTATTAGAACTTGAGGTTAAAACTATTTTCATTGAGTTTATTTATCGACTGATTCGTAAGCAGAAGTTAAAACAAAACAAAGTGAATAAACTTGTGTAGTGTTTTTTGTTTGTTGCTTACAAATTATAATAAGTAAAGATTAAACCGAATAAAAACATATATTTATTCAATCTACTAATGAATGTACGTGAAAAAAGTTATTGAATATAGTTGAAGAAATGTTTTCTTTATTGATGATGGAAGTCTCACCTCTTAGTGTGCAAAACAATTTACTTCGAGAAATTTATAATTGTCATTCCTGTCACAATGAATACATCTATAAATTTACGAAATCCTATGGTTTTTTTGGGTGAAACAAGTGACTCAATTAGTGGTCATAAACTGCCGACAAATAAACAAGTGCTGAAATTATTATTTCATTATACCAGAGAAACAAAAAAAACACTTGCAGAAAGTTTACAATTAGTTATTAATGAAGTGTCAAAATTTTGGAGTAGAGCTGGAATTCCAGTACAATATAGTTCAAGATGTACAGTTAAATTGGCAAAACTTTACAACAATTACAGAGATGCACAAAAAAATTCAAATGCGGAATTCGAGCAGGAATTTTCCGAATATTTAGACAAATTATTCGATATTGCACATGGTGATGTTCAAAATAAAGTCGACAGTGACGTCTTGAAATTTTTAAATGATCAAAGGACAGTGAGAAAATATCACTTACGCATTCTCAAATCAGACAATGATTCCATCGAGTCGGTTGGTAAGTTGCAATTCAATTATAAGTTGTAGTTAAATAAAAATTATTACAACCTGGGAAAGATATTGTAATTGCTAAATAAAATATTTCTTTGTTAATTAATCGTATCATCAATTCTAGAAAACCCAATTTTTAAAGAAGCCGAGGATATCTCAGTGGCCCAATCTATGAATGAGGATGAAATAGGTGACGATCTTGATTCAACAATCACAGATGATCGCTCAAAGTCAAGTAATTTATCAAAGTATTCATAAAAGGTTTATCTACTTGATAAGGGTTACATAGTTATAACTTTTTTTTATTTGTTTGTTAGATCTGACGTTACCACCAAGCTCAAAAAGTATAAGCGAGCAAATTTTGAGTAGTGGAACAACATCTACGTCTTGGCAAAGCACATCGTCAACATTTGAATTACAAGGGCGAAATTATGAACCAAAAAATGAAAGAGGAACAATAAATATTGTCACTGAAGATCTTGTTGCGACATTAGATAGTTGCAGAATTTCTTATAGGAATTCTGTACGAGTGATTTCATCAATAGCGTCAGCTCTTGGAGTTGATACCAATGATTTAATCCTTAATAAGACTTCTTTTAGAGAATATAGATCAAAAATCCGAAAGGAGGCTGCTGAAAAAACGAAAATGTTATTCGGTGACATTGATGTTGGTGCGGTGGTTGTCCATTGGGATGGAAAATTGATACCTGATGATTTATCCTGTAAAAAATTTGATCGAGTTCCGATAATAGTGAGAAGTTACAACATTGAAAAAATTTTAGACGTGCCAGCATTGCCAGATGGTAAAGGATTGACTCAGGCAGAAGCAATTTTTACAGCACTTCAACATTGGGGAATTACTGAGAACGTTAAAGCGATCTGTTGTGACACTACGGCTTCAAATCTTGGTTGTCGGAATGAAGCGGCCATACACCTAGAACAAATATTACAAACCGAGCTTTTATACTTACCATGTAGGCACCACATCTACGAGTTAGTATTAGTTTGTGTTTTTACGACTAAAATACCAGGCACAGAGGGACCAAATGTTAAATTATTTAAGAGCTTTAAAGAAACTTGGAGTACAGTTGATCAAACTAATTATAAAAATAGATTAGTAGGCAATAAAATTCCTCGAAAACTAATAGGCAAGGTTGAAGAAACAAATAACAAAATTGAAAATTTTCTCGGTACGACTTTGCCTCGTGATGACTATAAGGAACTCTTAGAGTTATGTCAAATATTTCTTGGTACTATAGATACCAAAAAAGTTTACTTCCACAAGCCAGGAGCGTTTCACCACGCCCGCTGGATGTCTAAAGCGATTTATTCGCTCAAAATATATATTTTTCGAGATATTTTAGACATAGATGATGAGACGAAAAAAAATCTCTTGGATATTTGTTTATTTATTGTATTCATTTATGTGCCGTTTTGGTTCGAAGCACCTCTTGCGGCGTTGGCTCCGAATCAAGATTTGAGATTTTTGAAAGCGGTGTATCAATATAAAACAATCGACAAACAAATATCCGAAGCTGTCTTAAATAAATTTAAAAACCATCTATGGTATTTAAATGGTTAAACAGCTGCTCTTTCATTTTTTGATGAAAACATATCTTTTTCCATCAAACGGAAAATGGTCAAGGCTTTAGAAAATAATGAAAATCAGGATTTTGATTCCTCCAAACGCTATGGAATTCATACGATTAGTGAAATTGTGAATTTGCAAAAAAAAGATATTGATTTTTTTATAAATTCGGATTCCTTACAATTTTTTGAAAGATTTAACATTGATAAAAATTTTTTGAAACTAGATGTTGAAACGTGGGCGGACAATAACGACTATTTAGAAGGCTTACGAATTGTTAAAAATTTACAAGTAGTTAATGATGTCGCCGAAAGAGCAATTAAATTAACTCAAGAGTATATTAATATTTTAACAACACAAGAAGATCAAAAACAATATTTGATACAAGTTGTAAGTGACTATAAGAAAAAATATCCTAATGCGACCAAAGCTTGCTTAACAAAAAAATTATAAAGAAAGAAAAATAATAATAAATCTGCTTATAATATTATATATTAATATTATTATTAAGTATATATACTACTATATTTGTCTATAATATTATATATTAATATATATAATATTATAGACAAAGAAATTTTTACATTTTTATTTCACCATTTTCCATCAATTTATTTTAAAGTATGTCTGTATGCGAAAAGGTATGTTATTTCTTTTATTTCTCATAAAAAAGTTTTTTTACCCTTGATTTTCTGTTTAGGACATTATATCGACATAAATGA